TTTAAAGACTCTCAGGTGGGCAAGGGCCTAGAGATTGTGTCCAGGCCTGTATTTCTGTCTGAATGAGTAAGGCACTTGGTCTAAACTCCTAAATTTACACTGAAACTAACCCAAGGCAAAATCAACACACTGTGATAAAGGGGCAACTTTCTGATGGTGTGAGGTTCCTGGGGAGCACTCATCCCCAGGAATGGAGAACCACATAGATGCCACAGACTGCTATGTCTCTTCCAGCTGAAGGAAGAGATAGGCCTGTTACTAATAGAGGTTATGAGGAACTGGACAGAGCCAGAGAGCATCTAGTCCTTGGTTGAAACAGATGTTTGAGATAGTCCTGGGATAATATCTGGCACTGTGGTTGACAAGCTGACACAGAGCTCGCTAGGTATCTTCACAATAGAAGGTGGTTCACACCAGTGGCCTCTGTCAGGGGTACCTATTCCAGATGGATGGAAATCCAGTGGGTGTCCAGACTCTAAGGTCTTAGCACAGAGCCTCCTATCTCTCCCTCACTGCCACCTTGGTCTCCTGGGATGGGCAAGATCCTGGTCAGAGAGTCTTTGACAAAGGGAACTAACTGATTCTTAGGTTCTCACTGCTCTATCAGAGCTCTTGGTTGCATTTGACAGACACAAAGTCCAAAGCATTCCAATTACACCAGTGTTAAATATATCACCTTATGCAGCTGGGAAGCCTTCAGATGGATCTGGCTTTGATCATGACTTCTCAAGAGTGTTTTCTAGCTCTCTTTTGCTCTGAATACTGATTTTATTCACAGGCAGACTCTTCACATTCAGTGGAAAATGGCTGCTGCCTGCTTTAAGCCTATTTCTTCTTTCCTAGAGGCTCTTGGGAAAAAAACAAATAAACAAACAATAACTCCCTCAGGTCTGATTGTCCCCGCTGGGTGGTATGCCTATCATGAACCAGTCCATGGGGCAAGGGAGGACGCTGTTATTTTAACAAGACCTGTGTTATATACCCATTCCTGAGGCTGGGGTGGTAGAGTGAGGGCTCCCCATTCCCATTTTCAGCTGCACAGAATAATAGACATGTAATTCCTTCAATGACAAGATGCTGACCAAGTGGCATATACGACTATACTCTCCCAGCAGAAAGCAAAAAAGTTCTTCCTCCCCACCTTTTCACATTTCTGGTTTATCCGCTTCCTTGCCTGTATCCTCAGGAAACTTTAAGAGGGAACACAGGCAATCCTTGCCAGCTTACCCTTTTTTTATTTTTACTCATTAACTCACTGTAATCAGGTTTCCCTTGATATTACTTTTCTGCCAAATCCAAAGGCCTATGTGGAGTCCCATTCACAGGGATAATATCTGGCACTGTGGTTGACAAGAACTCATTCCAGAGCTTGGTTTCAAAGGCTAGACATGAGCCGAGTGACTTAAAAGTTGCTTCACTTAAGATTTTAGTTGCTTTTTCTGTAAGTGGGAAGTTGATAATTTCTACTGCCTGGAGTTGTTGCCAGGGAATAAATGAACTCATACATGTAAAACAGCCCACGAGTGCCTGCCATAGAGTCAGAGCTTCCAAGTGCCAGCTGCTGTGATTAATGACACCTCATTTGATCTTCTTGGCTGTCCTTTCCTCCAAAAGTCTTCTCTTCTCCACCATGCCACATCACCCTTCCCCATTATTTCTTTCCTCTCCCAACCCCATCTCAGTAGTTGTCCTCTCTTCTTGTATTAGAATGTATATGCTCAGGGCCTCCACTGCTCACTTTCCCCTTTTGTTTTTCTATACGTTTGCCAAAGTGATTTTATTCACCCTGGTGACATCAAACCCTGTTTATGACTTACAGTTCTGAAATAGTCCATCTCCAGTGTGGACCTCGGGCCTTAACCCCTGTATCAGGCTTGTTGCTGTCAGCTGGAGTAGTCAGTGTTAGGAGTCCCTCAAACAGGCCCCAGACCGAAGTCATTCCCCACTCCCATCTTGAACTGGTGCCTTTTTCTACTCTTGGCCTCATTTGACAAGTGGTATTCACTGTCACTTTCCCTCTGCATTCAGGCCAGGAATATTCCTCAAATCTGGCTTCTTCTCTTCATGACCATGGCTATGGTTTTGGGCCAGTCTTCACTTTGGAGCATCAGTGTCACCACTGTGACATCAGTGTCACTGCTATCTTTCACACTAACCCCAAAGTTATGGTCCTACGAAACAGTGATTATAGCCACCAGCACCCACAGCTGAACTGCACCCTTCTGCCATTCAGTTTGGCTTACAAGCCAAGCCATCCTCCATTCCAGCACATCTCTCATCTAACACACTGAAATTCCGGGTGTAGCAGGCCTACACAGGCTATTTCTTCTCTAGAAACAACCTCTACTCATGGGTTAGACCAGCTGCTTCTTATGGCCCCCACCACCATCCAGATGAAATTGCACCTCCAAGCAGTTTTATTCAGTTCTCTCAAGTAGAATGAGTTGTGCCATGTTTATTATTTTTTTTTTTGATACTAGATGTATATCTTTACAATAGCCCAGATTTTTATTGTGACTTAACTAGTTATAAGTATCTCTCTTAATGGGAATATTCAAAACACAAAAGGCGGGCTAGCAGGTGGCATGGTGGTTAAGGTTGAACACCCCTATGGCCAACCACAGTTTGAGTCCTGGACTTGAAAATCACACTAGGTATGAATGCATGCATGCCCAAAATCCCAGGGGGAGAATAGAGAAAGGATTGCAGGGTGACCATCCCTCCTGGGGCGTGATTTCTCACTTTCCCTCATACCATCTCTCTCTCTCCAGAGAGGGCACATGCCCTATGGCAACATCCTAAAAACAATAAATATTTAAAGATTTTTAAAAAATAAATAATCAAGGGACCAGCAGTTAGCGTAATGACTATGTCACTGGACTCCCATGTAGTTGACCATGGTTCAAGACCTGGACCCAGTGGCTTAAACTCACGCTGAGTGCGTGTGCATGCATGCCCAAGATACCGAGAGGAGAAAGGAGGAGAAAGGATTGCGGCATGGCCATCCCCCCCCGGGGGGGGGGTGATTTCTTGCTTTCTATCTCTCTGTCTCTGTCTTTCCAGCAAGCACACACACCCTATAGCAAAAACCTATATTTCTCAACTTTCTAAACTTTCTTTTAAACAAATAATTTGTCCCTTATCAAAACAAGTTCAGGAAAGAAGAGCCTACCATTTCTTTCTCTCTTTGCATTTGTAATTATTTTAATAATTAAAAATTCAAGCTGTTGCTCTGGATGCTATAAACCCTTACTGAGGAAAGTTGATTAGAAAGAGAGAGGATTCCATGGCCCATTAAAAAAGAAAAAAGCTTCCTTAAATTCAGTATAAGCTTAAACTATACATTTGTGCTCTGGATTTGTTATACAAAGTGCCACTTGCACATATATGTCTGAGCCCTGGGGTCACTTTAATGGCTTCTAATACAAAAAGCAGAATAGAGAAAACTCATTAATGTAAAGGCATTTAACTCTGAAATTGGTCAGTAACTAAGCAGTAGGATTCTCTTTGTATTCAACCCCACTACAAAAGATCAAAGGTAGGAATGAGTAATAGGAGGAAATTACCCTTTTCATGAAATCAGCTATCTTCAGCTCAGCCTCCCAACTTGTTCTGTGGGTTCTAAGTGTGTGCTCTCAGTTTCATATGCTTTCAGATTTGATGCTGAAGGTTAGCCCTTGAGAAGAATATATATTTCTTTCTTTTTTTTTTTTTTTGAGGGAGAGAGTTTTTGCTACAGGGCATGTGCACTTGCTAGAGAGACAGAAAGCAAAAAATCACCCCCCAAGGGAGATAGCCACGCAACAATCCCTTCTCCTCCATTCTCCTCTGGGATTTTGGGCATACACACACTCATCCCCAGCATGAGGTTTAAGCCTCCGGGTCCAGGACTCAAACCAGGGTCGACTACGTGAGAGTACAACGACATAACCATTTTGTCATCTGCTGGTCCCAAGAATGTATATTTCATGGTATTCAGCATTTTTATCATAAAATTAGAAATGCCTCCGTGAAATTTACTATAGAAGATGAATTTGATTTACCATAGAAGAGAATAAAGATTTAACACCCACCTGCTATGTGAAATCATCTTTGTCCATGCCATTCCCTTTCTGTTCCTCTGAATTATCAATATGATACCATTTTAAGTTCATGATTGTTATGTTGCAGTCTTTTCAGAAAATGTTCATATTGGGGGGCCACCATTTAGATTTTTATTTAGGCTTCATGTTTATTATGTTATAAAAAATAAGAAAGTTGTATAATACAGATAAAGAATACCTTTTTCGGGACCAGCAATTAGCGTAATGGCTATGTCGCTGGACTCCCATGTAGTCGACCGCAGTTCGGGTCCCGGACCTGGTGGCTTAAAATTCGCACTGGGTGCATGTGCGTGCGTGCCCAAGATCCAGAGAGGAGAATGGAGGAGAAGGGATTGCGGCATGGCCATCCCCCCAGGGGGTGATTTCTCATTTTCTGTCTCTCTGTCTCTCTCTGTCTATTTGGCAAACGCACGCACTCTATAGCAAAAACCTCTCAAAAAAAAAAAAAAGAATACCTTTTTCAGGTATGAAAATCACCCTTAATCTCATCATGCAGAGATAACACCATAATTAACATGAAAGGATATAATATAGACTATCATCTATCTGTGTGAAATATATATCTATAGAAGATATTCCTATACCTACTGTACTGCACTTTGCTTTTTTAGTTAATTATATGGAAAACTTTCTCTTATGTTATTCTTCTTCAGCCTCATGTTTAATGACTGCATAAAAATGTTCATGTATTGCTATGTAATAACACACATAACCGTTTCCTGATGATTTATATAATGTTTTCTTATATCTTATGGATTATTTTCTTTTCTTGTTTGAGTACATAACTATAACTGAAGAGACTTAAGTCAGTAGTTTTAAATGAATTTGATAACATTAATTTTCTGAAATTATATTAAGACTAAATATAGTGATGCTACCAAATTTTGTTCATTGTAGGAGAACACAAGCTTCATTTCATCCCTGCCTTGATTGGCCCCTTCCTAGAAGTGACCCTGATACCCCAGCCAGATCTGCGGAATGTCATGATTCCTATTTTTCATGATATGATGGATTGGGAGCAGAGGCGCAGTGGCAACTTTAAACAGGTAAGCAGAAGTGCTCCTCTTCATCATCCTTGGAAGAGCTTCAGTTCTCTTCAAGCATCCCTGAACTTCCAGATTCACCTCTGCATGGGGATATGCACCCGACCTAGATCCCAGGCAGGCCTGTCCACTCCCAAGCCATGAGGGCTTGGACTCTTCTCCCTGATCCTGGGTTCCCTGACCCTCCAGGCAAGCCCTGAAAAGCCATTTAATTCCCTTGCAGCTAAAACACTCTGTGCCTTCCCAGGCCTGTGTTTAGGAACTAGCAGGGACTTTATTTGTTCCCAGTTGGAACAGCACAAAGGAATCAGAGGGTTAATGATTCTTGAAATCGTTGGGCTCTCAGTGGTCTACACATTGTGTTCGGTGAGTGGCTTCGCTTTGAGCATTTGATTCACAGTATGTTTTATTGCTCTTTGCTGGAAGCATTGAGAATTAATTTCAAGGAAAAAGCAGTGGAAATTCTTGCAAAGGAAATTCCACGGGGATGAGCCTATCATTTCTCGTTCACATAGGTTCTGATAGCTCTGCTCCAGTTCAGGGAAGACAGATGTTCTTATTACAAAACCAGATTTCATAAGGAATTGGCTGTTTTTGCCATGCCATGGAGACTGTAGGCCAGCTGTCACTCATACAGTCACTGCGCTAACTTGTGTGCCCACGGGATTTGGTCCTTCTTCATGCTTCTCCAAATAAAGCCTTCCTCAAATCTTAAAGACAGTTGTCAACTGCACAAGCGATCTGATTGCATACGTACTAATAGGACCCTCCTATAGCCCAGAACATGTGTATCTCACCCTTACAGGTATAGACATTTATCTTCAAGGCTGCTCGGAGATAAATGAAAGGCTGTTTTTAAATTGTACATTTGTAAGGGCAGGACCCACTTTCCTTCCCCCTTGTCTTTATCTCTTGATTGAAATTTAGTTTAAAGGAATAATTAGGCCTCTTCCTTTGACAAAGTCAAATATTCTTTCCAACCCCTAATTGCTTTAAGTCTCTCTGGTCACACAGAGCTTTTCATTTTCTGCCTCCTCTTCTGCTTCAGACAGATGAAGGGATTTTTTTCCCCTTCCTGATAGTCAAGTTCCAAAGGATTTATGTCCTTGAAAATATAAATGTTTTGACTACAGTTTTCAGGAAATATGTCCTTTCTCCTGCTGCTTATTGCTGACTTAGAATATTTCTATGGATCTACCATCTGTACATGAATAGGGCAAGTTCTCAATTTCAGTAAAGATTTAGTGCAACCTCAAAGTGTTCTGAGAAAGAAAATAGATATAGAACACATCAAAGATTTAAATTAATGTATGTGGATATGTTAGTTTGCTGATGTTCTTATATATAGTGATTTAAAAAAATGAAAAAAATGTAATAGGGCTTGCCAGTTTTTATAGCCCCTAAAAAAAGAATTCAAATGTTTAAACTGGATTGCAAACATTTGTGTTTGAATCAACAAATAGATAGATGTCTTTGGCAGCAATAAATGCTACCCAGCCGGGAATCTGAAGTCATGTAACTCCATCTAAATAAGCTCCCTGGAATTCCAAAGGATGTCTGCTATTAACTACAGCTGATAATGCCACTTTCACAAAATTTACCGTGGCTTTTTTCCCTGCCATAAATAAATGTTTTACTTGGCCTGGAATTCCTATTTGTGGAGGGAAGGAAAGAAAGAGTAATATTTGTGTATATTTCAGGTGGAAGCCAAGCTAATTGACAAGCTGGATAGCCTGATGTCAGAAGGGAAAGGTGATGAAACATACCGTGAGCTCTTCAACAGTATGTGAGTAAATATGTTTATCTCAAGTTCATTCTGTTCAGGGGATTCGGTGTCAGGATTGAGCCACTCTTACCCGCTGTCGCTGAGAGCTGCAAAGACAGCTTGGGTCTCCCAGGAGTGCTTTGTCTTTGAGGAGTGTGAAATAAAGGATAATTGCTTAACTCCAGCCAATGGATCTTATTATGTTGATGCTTAGACCCATTTCCTTATTTTAATCTCTGCTTGGGACAGGTCACACATGTCACATAACAAATCTTACTCTTTTCATGCCTAATAACTTGAAAATCATTGCAGCCAGATAATGATTGTAAGTAGGGTTATGAGTGCCAGAGGGAAAGGGTTTGATTGTCATGTTTGTGTGCAGTGCTTTTCCCCAAAAAACATATCCTTAGCTGATTTGCTGTTGGGAAAATTAATCGAGTTTGTATCTGTTCGTCAACACCTGATTGAATTCATCAATACTGGTTGTTCCTCATGCATGATTCATTGCTTCCTAAATGCCTCTCATTAGACTCACAGAAGCAAATCATTTTTAGTAAATTCTCTGTTTTGAATTGAAACACAGGATGCAGAGAAATAGTGGTGTGCTATAAAGGGACTTTGAGGTTGTCAAAGTCAGTGGAGTCAGATCACAGTCACAGGACGAATTGTTTGGACCGAATATTCGTTTGTTGTGTTGAAATGGCCAGAGAGGGCATGTGAGAATGTTTTAGTGCTTAGGAATTTCACTTTGGGCACTTGCTTCCTCTGCAGTTTTCTATGGGTCTTAGTGATTTTCAAACTCAGTATATCTAGTATATCTACCAAATGTATCTTGTTAAAGAATTAACTCATTGTGCTTGGAAAACATTCGTAATTTTTCAAAAGTGCAAATATAATTCCGCAGTATACTTTACAGTTATAAAATATACTTACATTTGTTTTGATGTCCAAGTATCACCTAAAACCAAACGTTCATGCTTTAGTATAGGGACCAAGTGTAAAATTCTAGAAGCCATCTTATGATCATTCATGTACAACAGTGGAAATATTAATATGTAGGTTTGAAAATATTCCTAGCAACTGATAAGTTGGATGGAGTTCAGCTTCCCTGATTCAAAATCATTCTGGAAGCTTTCAAGAAAATTACATTGAAAGCAAAAGCCAAGAAGGGGTGTACTGACTTCATGCGGCAGTGGTAGGTGATTAAATAGACCTTTTGTAGTGAACCCAGAACAAAACCGTTCTCTTCTGATACTGTAATTAAGCCAGAACTTTTAATAATTATTGACCAAGCTCTCGCTCATTCTCGTGTCCAATGTGTCTGTCTTTCACGACAACTAGAGTTTAAGCAAGAATTCTGATTAAAACCTCATCCAATATAATAAATTGCTTTTGAAAACTACTCTCATTTCAGTTACCAGTCCTTGGTTTGAACAAAGAACTAAAATGAGAACGCGCTCAGTGAAATGAATCTCTTGAGATTTGTGATTAATTATTTATAAAACATCCACAAGATTAATAAATACGCACATAGTTCTATAGTGCCTCTTATCTGCTTTAATAAAGGCCTGGTAGCATGCAATTTGGATTGCTTATGTATAAATATGACTTTGAAATAGAAGATGTAGCTTGACATTAGAATCAAACCAGTAATTAAAACATTAAACCTATGTAGTTAGGACTATTTTAAGATGGTTGATTCATCCAATGAACATTTTTATTCTTTCGCTGATTTTTAGCATATGACTAGAAATGAGAGAATAAATATTTTTCTTTCATGCTTTTATGATCAGCATATTGGGAATAAATCAAATCTAAAGTGATAATTAAATATCATTACTACCTGGGCTCAGAAAAGAAAGTGGAAATGTAACTATATTTCAGGAAACAATAAAATGCTTTTTTTGGCAATAGAAATCACAATGAATTAGTAGACTCACAATGAGCCACTGCACACATTATGAATTAGGAACACACGCTGTTACGGTACAGACTCTCATTTGTCCTCTGTAATTCAAGTCTAAAAAATCTTAAAATGTGTTTGGAAGCTGAAAGTAGTGATCCAGCTAAAATGCAGGCCTTGCCAAAATATCCCCCTGAAGACTTTACATATACATGAAGTATATGTATGTGGGAAGGGAGGAAAATTTCATGGAAAAAATGAATTAAAGGTACAAGTTTGTTTTAGTGCTAAAAAGTTTAAATTTATCATATCCATTTTCCATGAGCTTTCGAAGGCCCCTCATATAAAACCTTTCTTTCTACATATTTATCTTTTCCAAACCCCAATAGTATTTTCATCTACCCATATGGTATCTTTTTAAAGTAAGTGAAATCTATTATTTTTGATAACCCTGAAACTGTAGACTATAGATGCCAATGTGAAATAGCCAGAATAGGGACCAGCAGTTGGCATAATGGCTATGTTTTTGGACTCCTATGTAGCCGACCACAGTTTGAGTCCCAGACCTGGTGGCTTAAACTCATTCTGACCACATGCGCTTGCGTGCCCAAGATACCGAGAGGAGAATGGAGGACAAGGGATTGCGGCTTGGCCCTCCCTACTGGGGGGTGATTTCTTGCTTTCTGTCTCTCTGTCTCTCCTTCTGGTGAGTGCACGCACCCTATAGCATAAACATCTCCAAAAAAAGAAAAAGAAAAAGAAAAAAAAAAAAAAGGAAATAGCCAGAATAGAGTATGAAACTAAATTGTGTTTCTTCTGGCTCCGGAGAGTCATTTATTCAGCTTTACTGATTGAACACCACCCCGTGCCTGCGACAGGTGCTCCTGTAGGACTGGAGTACTGTGGTAACAGTGTTGTAGGAGTACACAGCAGAGCTGTCCAGTCAAGGAGGTTCAAAAGGGTTACCAGAAGATGTAACTTCCGTCTCCATTCTTTCCTAGTCCTTCATTCTGCTTTCTCTTATGTTGTTCTTTATTTTCTTTTTAAGAATTATATTTATTATTTTAACTTTATTTATGTACGTATTTAAATTTGATCAGAGTGAGAGAGAGAAAGAGAAAGAGAGAGAAAGTCAGAAAGCAAGTCGCCAGGAGGTCCGGGACTCGAACCATGGTCAGCCATGTCAGAGTCCAGCAGCCTTAACCACCATGCCACTTGCCAGCTCCTCTCTTGTTTTTTTTGTTTGTTTGTTTGTTTGTTTTTTTTTTTT